CTCTAAACTCCTCCAAAGTTGTTCATCAACCTACCACTTAGCCACTAAGCTCTTAAATCAATGTCACCACCACAACTCCTCAACAAGAACACCAGGAATTCAAGTTAAACATATAAATCTCAAACTTGTTTGAAAATGAAACTTGAAATTCGGAAGATCCACTTACATATCCTGATGAGAGGAATATTTTTCTCTCTTGGGTCGAGACCCATATCCGGCGAGGTTGGCCGAAATCGGCGAAAAGCCCACGAAAACCATCGAAACTTCTAGGCTTCAATATATGAGCACGCTTGGTTCCAGCACATGGTTTTGATATCAAATTGAAGAGGGCTTCGCTATGAATACATAGCCTTCGACCTTGCATGATTTCGTTGCCGAATGAGAAAGTTATCATTTTTAGAGTGAAGAAGAATGAAGGGGTAGAATAACACAGCAGCTCCCTTGCTGCATCTGCCTGCCGGGGAATGGAAAAAAAAAGAGAACCCTTGGCTTCTAGAATACTTCCTCCTGAAATTACTATTTTACCCTCTAACTTTAAAAATTCGTAATTTACTCGTCTTAACTTCAAATCATATTCCGTTTACGCTCACGCGTTCGTATTAAAACGTACTATTCGAATATGTAAATAAATCTGGAAAATCATGAAATGATCAAATACGTTCGTGAGGAAATCCGTTTAATACAATAGGGCAATTTTATCATTTTCCACTTAACGAAAAATTATACGACATAAATAATAATGAAATCCGGAAGCGGGATTTCACATTTTCCCTATTCGAATTTCATAACCATAAATCTATTTATTCTCGATTTACTTCATATATTCATATATTTTAAATTTTCAGGATATTACAATGGGCCTTGAGTCTCTAGGCTCAGGCTCTAATAATTAAAATCAATAATTAATTATTTTTAATTTATTAAATTAATTTCAGATTTAATTAATCTTTTTGTTCTCAAAATACTCATTCTTTCGAATGAAGTCTGAGAACATTGAAAAACACTAAGAAAAATATGAAGTCGTACATCCCCATTGAATGAATAATCACCTCCCAAACTTATACCTTTTGTGAACAGGTTTATGCAAATATAAATGCATGCATGCGCATCTTATTCTATCATCGAAAATCATTCTTTCATCCATACAAGCATATTGAGAGAACCACCAAAAAATTCGCTAGAAACTAAGTTTTTCGATGATGGAATCGTAGTTTAGATTGTTGAATCTTGATGAAGCTGAGACGCTTACAAAACTATAAGCACATAGTAGGGGGAAATTTCTGTTTTAAGAACATTGCTGTATGTAAACCTCAATCTTCAGCTTATCTGCTTAATATTATTTTTGTTTATTCATTCTTTGGTAATTTACTGAGTTGCATTTATTATTTACTAGCATACGCCTACACACTTTGCGTTAACATTTTTTATTTTTATTTTTTAAAGTGGAAAAGAGAGAGGGAGAAAGAGAACGTGGGAGTAGGAAGAAAGAGTTCTATTAATATGTAGTTTAGATTAGCGTATTGGAATTTACATTATTGCCTATCTTTTTTTTTGTAACAGAAGACTAAATAATCTTTTCACATTTTTTAGATGACAAAGAGATTTTTATTAATAGTTAGTTTAGATTAGCGTATTAGAATTCACTTCTATATATAATTATCATTGATTGTTGATTATTATCCAACACCAGTTTTGTAAAATCTGCTATACAAGCAAATGAGCAATAATGATAGATGCCGCGCTGTTTATTCTTGTCGGTGTGGTATGTTGCTGACACTATGCACCTTCGACGAAATAACCGACACCTTTGATGATGACAATGACGACGATCTTATACTTGGTCAAGAGCAGCGGAACATGGAAGATTACCAAACAGAACCGGCAGTGCAGCAGATCAAGCATTTTAGTCATGATCAACATTTCTTCATCCTCAGTGATGCAGCAGTTAGAGATCTTGATGGTACAATTACTTGTGACGGTTGCATGCGACCCATCACCATGACACGGGATAACGGAGATCAAAGAAAAACCACAAGTGAACACTCAACGATGGACAACTCACCACTCTAAGTAATTCATCAAAGAGATAAGAGTTTATGGATAGAAAGAAAAACACTCTTCACTAAACCAAGTTTAAAAGTAAATTTTAATTTCTGAATAATTGTGTTTCCATACACGAGTAATGGTTTTAAATAGCTAGGCATGGAACAACCTTCTATCTTCCATGAAGAGGTTACTAAGCATAAACTTAATGTAGGACTAATCATGAACTTTAATGAAAATATGAACCATCTTTAAATTAAATATGATGAATGCACCATGATAATTAGACGAGTCCAAATTCGGTGTCACACCATGAGCACTGGTGCCATTTATAGTTGTTGCGCCGAACAAAAACAATACGTACCGTTTCAATCTCCACCAAATCTGTGCTCATTTACCTCTAACAATGCTCCCCCCGCTTCACCGACACCACCTCACACTCCTCTCGGCGGCTTCTTCATTTGACAGTGTTTAAGTGTCATATGTGCCGGAGCTTGAGCCAAGGCTTCTCTAACTATTGTAACAAATGTGATTTACCTTGACCTCCAATTCATTTTGGTTTCGAATACGCATGATGCATAGGCATCATTGTAAAATAACTAAGGCCTAAACCCGCATTTTGCATTTAGAAGGCCTGATCTCTCTCTCTCTCTCTCTCTCTCTCTCTCTCTCTCTCTCTCGCACCTCATCTCCCTCAGTGATTTTTTTTTTTTTTTGGAAAAGATGTTTTGTTCAAGCACCAATAGAGAGTAAAACGAAAGGGTAAAAAGTTGTCTCAAACTCAAACATGATTATCAAGAACAAAAGTTGCGTCTTAAAAAGACACGCTGCCAGGATAAGCCATCATGGAGTAAAACAAAACGAACTACATACAAAATTCATCAACCTAACGACATATACAATGCAATCCAAAACGAGACAAATAGACAGACATTGTACTTCTTACAGCTTGGCACAAATACAATACTCATCCTCGTAAGCTCACCTATTATAGTGATAACAACGAGCTAGGTGAATATTATTGTGAAATCTGCGTACGAAAACGTCTTCAGATTCATTGGCTGTACTCCTACTCAGATTGTGATTTCCATTGTCATGCTCATTGCGTTCTAGGGAGATATTCCCAAGTGAATTTAGGGGGTACTTACAAGCATCCTACTCACTCAAAACACCTTGTCACGCTTGTTGAGAAGAGAGCATAATCCCTTTTGAAAAGAGAAATAACTCTCTTGTCAAAACTGCCGTAAACCTTTATACACATGAAGCTCATGTTCACGCCCTCGGCTTCAACGTAATGCAGAGCTCATGTATGTACTTCCATGTATTCAGTTACCTCCCACCATCAGGCACAAATACGACAAGATCCTCTGAAGTTAATGTGCAATAGTGTTTTAAGAACAAGCTAGGTGAATATTAAGGTGAAATGTTGCTATCAGCTATATACCGTTTGGAATGAAACTTTTCAGTCTTCTGGTTGCATAAATATCGATATCTTGTATACACAATCTTGGCACCTTTCCCTGAAGTTTTCATAAACTTCATATTTACTATTTGATTGAGGACTTGGCTATGATACTTGCGTTTACATAATATGTTCACCATCTAACAGTCATATATGACCAGTGAGTATACGAACACTGTAGGAAGAAGAGGGATACAAAATCTTGATTGAAACTTTTAGTGTAGTGGAGAAGGGAGAGGCTTTTAACTCGAAAAAAACTTTCTGATTTCTTCACACACAAAACTGATAACAGTACATGGCTTTTATAGCTCAATACATCATAATTTATTTAGCTAATTAAGAACAACTTTGTCGCTGTAACTCTAGAGAAATCATGATAGACTCCAAGTAATTTCAATCATCACAACTCTGGGAACTTCTATATATTATTAATCCTTACTCGTGACTGTAACTTAGTAACTGAAATTTGATTTACTTCTCCAACAAACACTATCGAAAAGCTTTGGGATCACGGGAATTCTCCTTCTCATCATGCTTCAAGGCAAATGACATCACACGATTACAGAGATTTAATATTGTAAAGTAAAATTAAAATCGCAATCTTTAACTCACATAGGTTTCCTATGCTAAGTATCCTCAATTATCAATCGCAAGAAGCGGGATACAGATATCTGTTTACATGTTCATAAGAAGTAATCAGTGTTTGATGTCGTAGCCACTATAATCTTATAGATCTATGTGATGATAATATCAACAGAACACAGGCATGCAAAGCAATACGGTCATTTTCTAAAATTGCTTTACTAAGTATATGTAATTCAAATTCTGTGTTATCAAAGGTGGGAGCTCGTAGCTCACCACCTCCAGATCCAGCCATTTTGGTCTGAATCGGTTCGAATCCAAGAGATTTCTTGTTGGTTTCTCTCAAACTTTTCACAGAGACCATGCATGTTAGATGATGATGAAAGTAATTCAGTTTCTGGAATCTCAAAGACAACAAGTCATGCTCTCAGGGTGTATTGTATTCACTAACTCACATTAGACAAAAACAGCCGTTAGGCTAGTAAGAGAGAGAAAGAGCGTATGAGCTCATCCAGTCATCCCAACCGTTTAAAACAATGCCCTATGAGACACTGTCACTTGCTCACATCTGAGCCCAAAAACCAAGTATCAAATCTCAACCTTTGATCTTTAACAAAGTGAAAAAATACATAGCAACTAAGCAACATGAAACTTAAATAAATCAGTTTAGACTAGACTTGGCATTTTCAACCCGATCCGTTAATTCGATCTGACCCGATCCGACCTGACCCATTAAAATTAGTATTCGGGTGAGTAATAAACAGGTCGGCTGGTTAACGGATCAACCCATTAATCACTCGTTAAAGAACGGGTCATTTTGGGTGAACCCGTTTCACCCGTTGACCACCCGTTTCACCGTTATTGAGGACTTTTGTGTAATTTCAATAGTCCTAATAGAAAACCCTCAGTCCCTCACGACTCTCTCTCGCTCATGCCATTGCTCTTTGAAAGATTGGTGTGCTCCTTGGCTCCGGTTATCTCCCTCATCTTCTTCCCTAAAAAATTTTACTGAAATCCACCACTCTCTCTGGTAAGCTCCGATTCCCTTCCACCTCTTCTTTCATTTTTTACTTTTGTTGTGCAAATTATGCTTTCTCTGTGTGATTGGATTGGAGATTTTGGGTTTCTAGGGGTTTTTTTTGCTGCTCTCTCAAATCTCAATTTTCGTACTTTATTTCTTGATGATCATTAAATTGCATCTCAGGTTGCTTTTCAAGAAGACCATAAAGTTGGGGGATTCTAAAATCTCTTGCCCTTCTGGCAGCTGCGATTGCCCTCCTCTTTTGTCCCTCCTCAAGATTGCTCCTGGTAATCCTCTCTCTCTCTCTCTCTCTCTCTAAAATATGGGTTTTTTTTTTTTTTTTTTTTTTTTGGTTTTGGATCCAATTTCTTATGTTTTTGTTTCTGAGTTCTTCTCAAAGTATGGATTTTTATTGATTGGAATGAAATTAATCCTTACCATGACATCAATTGGGGTTTTGATATTTGTTTTTGCTAATTTTGGATTTGGAGCTGCTCATGTATTGGATTATATGTGAGAAATGGAACCCAATTCAGATTTAGATTTACATTTGAAATAAATAATATGTTTATAAAGGGGAAGAATGTTGTAAAATTTTTGTACCTCAAGTATTTTGAAATAAATAATATGTTTATAAAGGGGAAGGTTTTATTATTTCTCCTTTGATTTTTGTAGTGTCCTCCATTTGCTTTTGAAAAAAAAAAAAAAAAAAAAAGACTAACAGGTAAAACGGGTGACCCGTTAGCTTAATAGGTTGGGTTTGAATGACCCTTTAAATTAACGAATCTGGTTAAATCCAACCCAAATCCAATAAACCCGATTCGTTTATAGGTCTAGTTTAGACCATAAACATTCAACAGAATCGACTGAACAAGTCGTCCACCTCGATCAGTGGCTTGCTTGGCCATTACCAGGTTATGGATCAGTGGTTCCATTCAATGCTACGCCGTGTCGCTATAATATCCTTGACATCTTTCTTGATCTTTTTCAACTCTCTTCGGATTTTGTTAATGGTGGGTAGCTCCACAGGAGAGTTGAAACCGTGTTTTTTCGATAGCATCTGGCACTCAGTCAAATAATTGTGTTGAGGTAGTAAAGCTCCCTAATGGATGAATCTACAGACGAAGATGACTTGAAAACTTGTTCAAGCAGTCTCTATTTTCAGAAATTGGTTGTGCCTGGGAATCCTGTAGATACTATTCAAAATATATTGAGCCATGGGAATTTAAGAACAGTGTGTGAAACTCATTTGCTTATTCAATAGTGTACCAAGTTCAAATGTCTAATGAGTAATGAGTCTGCCTTCTTGTTGTTGATTGAGTCATGAACACTATGTTGGAGCAATATTAGAAAATATGAAAATATTACAAGAATTTTAATGATAATAATCATAATGAAAATCACAACACAAATTGTATACAAAATTTAATATAAACAATAGAGAAAGTAAGAAATATTGACAAACTTGGAGATCAAGGCTTGCATAAATGAAATGTCCTAAAAACATAATTTCGCCCCTACTTTTCTTTTTGTATTTCGGTAGGCTTCTGTCTCTTAGGATTTAACAAGCTATAATCCGAAGTTGAAGCACTTCAATCTTCTGACTATGGCAACTTTATATATTTCGTATTCTCTAGATACGACTCAAAATTTGTCAAACGAAGAATGAGAGAAACAGAGTGGGAAACCCTATTTCTCAAGAGTAAGAATTTACTCTAATTTTCTACTTCTTTTTATTATTTATTAGACAGGTGAGATGCTTGAGTTTATATAGAATTCGAGCCATCCCTTTTGAAATATTGTGACTATTGCTTAAAGTTCCAACGAACATATGTCATGTGCAACTCATGAATTTGAATTCAACTGTAACACTGGACTCTTATTTTTCATTCATAAAAAAAATTAAATATTATAAATTAATAGTATAATATATAATTTCCACAATCCCCACATGAATGGAAAATTAGAAGAATTTGAGAGTACAGACGGACAAGAGATGCATCGAAAGAGGTGTCTTTTGGACTTGAACCTACCCTAGTGAATACTTATCGGATTTACTTAGTGAGGCAGTGGATGTGGAAGATCATGAACTGTCCTAATATATTACGGTTCATATGGTTGTGTTCATTTTGGTCTTAAAAAAATCTCGGATTCATGAGAGCTTTAGTGAATTTAGCCATCTCATTCTCGTAGAACCAACCCCACTTTAACTCTTACATAGGTGACCACTAATTAAGAATACTCTGCAATTTTCCTCTTATTTATAAGATATCACTGTCATTAAATATAAATACACACCCTAAAACTTCTGTTGACAACACACTTCTTCCTTTGTAAGAATGAGGTATATAGTGTGTAACTTCTTTGAATTATGCCCATCCAGTTTGCCTATTGAACTTAGACCATGGGATCTTCAATCAACTAAGTTACGTTTCCGCCCGGCTAATTTTTTACTTATGTTGACTTTAGCCTCATTCATTTCGATGATCAACTTACTCTGTAGTCTAACCTTTAATAATTGGATCCACTACTAGGTTGACTATCTTTAATGGTGTGCACAATTCATCTTATGAAATTTTATTTCATATGAGAGTAGTTGTTTTCTAATGTTAAGTCCTTGAAACTAGGTCTGACAATTCTTGACACGACCCGATAACCCGACACGACACGACACGAAATTAGCAGGTGTTCGGGTAGACATGATAACGAATCGGGTCGTTATCGGGTTACCCAATAAGCACCTGTTAAGATAACGGGTTGGTTTGGGTATACAAGTGGGTAACACGATACACAATAAGCAAAATATTAATTTAATAATTTTACAACCCTAAAAAAAATACTATAATAGTTATATATATTAATTTAACAATTTTATACCCCTAAAAAACTATAATAATTATATATATTAAATTAAATATTAAAAATTGGTGAACATTGGATTGGCTTAAATATACATGTCATTCAATTTCTTAAGTGACACATCTCGACCAAAATCAAGTCGTGTTGGCTGTCACGTGAGGGTGACGTAGCCATGTGCGCAGTGTGGAAATGATATTGAGAAAAAGAAATGTGAGTAACTAAGAACCAAGCTAGCTAATTTACACTAAACAAATATAAGTGCACATTTCGATATTTAAGTATGATACACCATAATCAGAGCATAGGTAGCCTAAGTGCAGTCATGCAAGACAAGTACTAATTATACAATACCAGAGGTGGTCCTACATTAGTGATAATTTGTCAGAACCGCCGTCAATTCCTCGTAAGCCACCAACAAGCACTCCTACCTAAAACCTAGAGGGGCGCAAAACAGAAAATGTGAGTGGGCAAAAACAAAGCTTTTCAAAACCATTTCAATTATCAAAGGTAGTAACCCTTCATCGTAAAACCTGTATAATTTCCTAGAAATTAGAATACATATCTATATCACAGCTATGCTCAGAATAGCAAAATTCACAGGTATACAATGCCAAAAATCTCAGTATAACAAATTAGGTAAACTAGGTGAAGTAAGTCAATGACAAGTAACATATCAGCCGGAGTCACCTAATATGACCTGTATGGCTGAGTCTATAGCTCATCCATCCAGCCGGAGTCACCTAATGTGACCTGTACGGCTCAACCAATAGCTCAACAAGTATGCTTACACACAAGTTGGAACCACCTAAAGTGGTCTATATGACAAGACTGGGTGTAAATAAATATGCTCAAGTGCTACGATCACATGAAGACTGTGCGAATGATCACAGGTCACCTACGAGTCAAAACCACTTATAGTGGTATGTACGACAGGACTGTGCACCTAACTTGGATCCAAGGTGAGCGTGTGGTGCGAGAGGTGAACATCACGTGAATGACTGTGCCCTGACCACGGGTGGAAGCACTAACACCGGGGTGCATGTTATGAGCTATAGATACATCTCAGCATAATCATGCAACTCACATCCATAATCTATAAACTCACCTGGAACTTACCTAAACGTCCGCAGCGTCAAACATAAATATGTGCAACTACTAAATGCATATTCTAAATATAAAACATTTGGCATGGCATTTTAAAATACAAGTCCATTTAAACACGTTTTCTGGGAAAATACCAAACATAAATATATACACTAAAAACCAAAAGCCCACTCATTGATATGTGGAAGGATCGTAGCCCCTAAGTCTCACTTGACTATGCTCGTCCTCTGGAAAAGTCTCACCTATATGCGAAACAACTATTTTAATGTTATTTTTAAGCACATATACAAAACCAGGTAATAACTTCTCATACGTTGCTCAATGGGGGTGTTTAAATATACCAACATGACCTGCTTAACCCCACGAACATCCCCATATTTTAGAAAAAAAATTTCGATGTCTCACGTGCCAGCCAAGGCACGGCCACAAGTAGGCATATGCCTGGCACGCTGGACGGAATCCCTAACGGCATTAGGGAATATTCCGTTAAATAATGGAATATACCATTAAATATACCTAACGCTGTTAGCATATTCCATCAACTTTGACAGAATATTCTCCTCCTTCTTCCTTGTTTCGCCAGAGTCCGACGCCGGCCACCGCTACTATCGCCGGATTCTGGGACAATTTCAAACCTTAATATCTCATCCATTTATCAACCAAAATTCATGAAATTTGTACCAAAATGAAGCTTAGGACCAAAGGAACACATCTTTACCACTTTTAGGACCTAAAACCAACGAAATCTTATCAGAAAAATTTGTGAAAATCGGCCAAACCCTGCAACTCGATAAACCCAAGTGTTCCTACGTCAAAACTATTCTAAAATTGATCCAAAGTGCTAGAAAAGCAAGAATAAAACCTTCTTAAGTCTCAAAACTACCTGAAACCTTCGCAATCACGTCGAAGAAATTTTCACCCTTCACCGAAGATCGGAGAACTCAAGTTTTACAAGTCTTCATATCCAATCAAAACTATATCTCGACTTCTGAGCTTGTAAGGAGCATGAAAACGACTTCCACAACTTCGATCCGTCAGTGATGAAGTTGGTTGAGAGGTTGTTCATACAATTGTGTGGAAATGGAAGAAAAATCTGAGAGGGGAAGAGAGAAAAAAAAGGTCAACGGGTGTGTGTGTGTGTGGTCCAGGTTGGCAACCAAACAAAACAAACAAAAATCTTAACTTCCAATTGGGTCCAAATATTTAGGAAGGAAAAGATTGGTCCCAAACCCTAAGCTCATTCACACAACACACTCAACGTTCAAAGGCATAAAAGTCATTTCCACGCTATCGAGGACAAAATATATTATAATTCGGGACGGGTTGTCACAGCCTACCCCCC